GCAAAAGAAACCTCTCAACGCATGCTAGACTCTCCCCTAGTATCACAAAGCTGACCAGAATCGGTATGAGCCAGACAAAAAATGCCATATACCACAGCCAGTGGCAGATCTAGGGGTGGGCCACCAGGGGCCACGACCTCCCTCCTTTGGGTCATGAGCTAGTATAGTACGTATGAATTTTTCGATATTAGATATTCGGCGCAGTACTATTTAAAAGTCGGTCCAATGTTATTTAATAATAAGATTTTGTACAACTAGAAAAATGGTCCACATGAATAATTCCAAATCACTATTCTAAATTTAGTCTAAAAATTCTAGCCCAATAAATTTCAATTGAAAAAATAAAATATACAATAAAACCTAAAAGTATAATGTTCCATTGAAATAAAAAGGGTATGTCTATTTTTTATCCAAACATTTTTCAGATTTTTATATATTATCCAAACCTATTAAAATTCTATTTATTAGCCAAATCTTTCATTATACATCAAAATATTAGACATTTTTACGTTATCGTTAATAATTTTGTAACTTATTTCTTAGTTAAAATACTGAAATTTTGAAATGTTGACCTTCATGTGTCTCTTCCAAGTCAGTATCATGTTGCAGAATCAATATTACTAACAAAATTGCTAACTGAAAGTTAACATTTGGTCAATTCTTAGTATTTCGATAGGTTTGTATAATATAAAAGAATCTGAAAAAAGGTTTTGATAAAAAATAGACATTACCCAAATAACAAAAACCTCTAAACTAAACTTCACCCTTCCGTATCAAACTTCCAAAAATTCCCCCAACCCCCCCCCCCCCCCCCAAAAAAAAAAGAGGAGACGAACATACCCGAAATGGATTCCTCTGCTACTTTGTCGGGCACTGGTTTTCTTTTCACTCTTCTGATGAAGAAAATATTTACAAACTTGTTGAGTCATCATTTAGATTGCTTATGTCAAGTTGTGCACTAGATCATAAAAAGGGGTAAATGCCACATTTGGTCATTGAGTTTACTATATCATGTCATGTTGAGTCACTAGAAAAAATTAATATAAATTTTGGTCACTCGAATTACTGAAACATGTCACATTTATTCACTCTCACGTTAGTTTCCGTCCAACTCCATTAAGGCATTAACGGAGTTGGACAGAGGCTAACGGAGAGTGACTAAATGTAACATGTTTAAGTAATTCGAGTGATATTCATAAAAAGAAATTCGAGTGACTAGAGTTGGACGGATGGTAACGGGAGAGTGACAAAATGTGACATATTTTAGTAATTCGAGTGACCAAATTTTATATAAGTTTTTTCTAGTGACTAAACATAACATGATTTAGTAATCCCAATGACCAAATATGACATTTACCCATCATAAAAGCTCTTTGTGGTCTTTTGATGAAGAAAATATTTACGAACTTGCTCAAGAGTTGTTTTTTGTTTAGACTTTGAAGGCTATTAGATGCATTCTTTGAAGAATTAGGCATGATATTATGCTACTCATCTGGTTCATAGTCAGGAATATGAAGTTTCTTCCCTTACAAAATTACTATAGAAGTTGGTGGAAACATGTATGTACACACAGTACAAATTGATTTGTCGGTTGTTTCGTCTAGTGTTGACATAGTCCGTTTCAACGGCGACTACGGAGAAAACATTTTCAACAATGAAACATGTGGCACCTGATCTGTGCAACAAAATGAGCGATGAATTTCTCGCTGATTACGTAACTCTTTCATTTTATAAAGATTATGTTATTAGTATGGATAAAGACTCCATTATTAATGAATTTGCTAAACTAAAAGATCGCCATGTACAATTGACATTGTAATGAAAACTATAGTTATCATATATTTTTGTTTACGATATCTTATTTTCTATTCAAATGTAGCCCAGTGCTCTACTATCTCCTGAATCCATCGCTGACCACACCATAACTATCATTAAGCATTTCTGACACACCAGAAACTAATTGTGACAGTGATCGTGATTTGCATCCTCCAAAGTTGACACCTTTAATGAAGTTAAACAAAAGTAGCACACATGCATGCAATGGTGGCTGATATGCATTCTAAATATAAAGTGTCAATGTGTAGTTCATGTAAGACAACTGCACCTATTTCTACAGGGATGGAGAATATGCCCTTTACACCTCGAGATTTAAAGAATCACATAACGAGGGTGAGGCAGAAAAAACAAATGGAACTTGGGGAAGTGATGGTACTGCTTTAGTATTTTGGGAACTAAGCATACAAGAGTCTCTCATTTTTTATGAGAGTGAGATTGAAATGCAAGCATCTTTTAGGATGATGGAAGGATGTAATATGACTACAGCTTATTTGGTGATACAATCAACTTTGATAAAACATACAAGACAAACAAATTTTTGTGGTATGATTTGAATGCATGTTATAAGTCAATTGATGAATGTCAAAGAAATTGAATGTTGTCCAGAAATTATTTAATGCGCACAACATACCAGAATTTAGAGAATCTAGAAAGTAGTAAATCTGGACCAGGAACAAGAAAAGGAAACTATATCACTCATGTACCAGATGTGACGCTTTAATACTTATGAAACTATATCACTCATGTACCAGATATGACACTTGAATACTTATGAAGCATACCCGAATTTATGCAATTGGTATCAGTAAGTAGATAATGCACACCATCAATCCCTGAATGCATTTTTTTTTTACAAAGAATGCACATTGGTGTTGAGCCAATGCTGATTTTTTGGTGTGTATGCTTCTCTCTCTTTTTTGTAGCACTATTAGTTGGATTCAACCACACCACCGTGAGTTGGTTACATCTGGTTGTTCCGGATGTTCTTGAGTTGTATGTCGGACAAGCGAACATCACCAATATTCACCGACCAGGCTGCTTCCATTGTTGCGGTAATTAAGAACATCATTCCAAAGGTATTCCATGGGCTTTTTACATTTAACATCAAAATGAATGTTGTAGAGCATCTCAACACTTGATTTACTAAAGGAGCTTGGTAAAGCGGCTTTTGGCATGAATAATGAACAAGATTTTTAGTTGCAATAAAATGAGATGTTGTAGAAGTACTATACATATGAGTACAACAATGGACGAAGGTTTTTGGATTCCATCTAAGAAGTCAGAAGCCAGTGGTCTTCCACAATGGACGAAAGTTAAAATCTTAAGGTTTTACGATCTTACCTATGGGTTCCGCTTATGATATTACTACTATCGCCACTATCGCTTGACGTAATGTGTGCTCTCCGCTACTTCAGTGACTCGTCCTCTCCCCTCAGCGCGACCAAGGGACAAAATGATTTAAAAGGAAGAAAGGAGATGGATTCAATGTCGATTATCCAAAAATAGAGCAAATATGGACAAAACGAGAGAGGCCTCAATCGTTGAACATCGTCGCCATCTTGTTTATCGATCATCTCCGACATCTCCTCAATCGAAGATGGAGTTGGTGGTGGCGGGGCATCTCTTCGATCATCTTCAACATCTCCACAATATTCAATCAGCGTCGCCAACTGCTAGGACACTCTAGTGGCGCCACCACCAGTCTAGCCGAAACTCTTCTTCAGATCCTCGTCAAACTGTTCTCAGGAGGGAGATGTACACCCGTGTAGTCCGCTTTAGAACTCTTGGCCTCCCGTTGAAGACCATTGTCCTCAGATCTAGGCCTCAATTTCGTGAGAGCTGGATCCACTATCGGCTCGCATATGGAGGCCCGAAAATCAGAACACCCCGACTAATGAAGGAAAAGACAAATCTCAAAGACAGTCGGAGACAAGATGCTAATGTCATTAAAATCTCCACCACTCTGCTCTCGTCACCACGACAACAATCCACTGTTTATGAAGCCTTTCACCGGGCGTTAGCTCGAACAGAGCGACCTTAATTTTGCCCTCGACGGACATGACGACGCTGAATTTGAGCAGAAGCCTAGATTTGAGGTTGGGTTAGCGAAAATCATTGTCGGAAGAAGGAGTAGGGGAGAGGAATCGTCGGGGAAGAAGGGTTAGAAGAAAATTGGGGGAGAAGAGGTTATAGATTGAAGAGAGGAGACGAAATAGAGTCTTTTTAATTTGAGTAGGTCAGTTTTCGGTTTGGTTTTGGAGTTGGGTTGGGTAAGCTGACGTAGCTGGTCAACCTGACATGGCGAGTCAGGTCTTCATTTTTTCGGGTTAAGTTGGGCTGACTCTACAATTATGTTAGCCACATCAGCACTTAACAGACTTTGTTCACGAACGACGAAAGGTAACAGAGAATAACCAAACATGAGCTGTTGAACCAATTGAGTGGCCACAAATAAAATAAAATATTTTTAATGGTAAACATGATGTAACATCGCGAACCTTTTCCCGATGAAGATATTCCACTTTGGGCCTCGACCCTCACGGTTGTTGCTTAGGGTGCAACTCAAGGTGACTTCCCATAAGGTCACCCATCCTTGTTGTAATCCACACTTAGCACGTTTAACTTCGGAGTTCTCACAAGAACTCCTCCATTTCATCCCAAAATTCGTCTTATCAGTTAAAGCCGGTTTCTTACTTATGAACTATGGATTTCTCCCGTGCTTTGTTAATATGGGATTTGCCTAAGGTGTTACGCATGACCTTTAACAAAAAATTCTAGTGACAAAGATAAACTTTCTAATAATGTCAGTAACCAAACTTGCCATTTACCCATACTATCTCGAATTTTATTTTATTGGTAAATTGCAAGGTTGGTTACTGAGTTTAATAAAAAGGTTCATGTTTGGTCACAAAAAATATTTAATTCCATTCGTGGTCACTAGAATTAATTAAAGATTTCAAGTTTGTCACTCTCCGTCCAATTCCGTTAATTTTGGCTGATGTGGTAGTCAACTCTTATAGTTGACCGTTAAATGTGTCACGTGGTAATGAAAAAATTATAAAAAAATAAAAATTTAATGTTTCACAATTTACACCTCATTAAAACAATACATTAAAATAAATAAAAAATATAAAGAATTATAATTAAATTATAATTCTTTTTCATCCCACTTGCGATCAAAGTAAAGCCTATCGCTGATTCAACTATTTCTCCCCTATCTCGTCCACCTCCCACCCCCTCTGCGGCGATTCTGACCTCGGTTCTCCGTCGCCGCCGACAAACTCCTCACCCACCACAAGAAATTAAAGGTAGCCTTCTCATCACCGCACTTTCCCGTGAACAAGATATTCTTTCCTTTGTTAAACTAACTCCCAAAACCCACCCTTGTTTCTTCTTCTCCCGAGCTCGACCCGATTCGGGCGCCATTTTCGGCAGATGCCAGTTCAACGCAGATTAGAGTCGACGTTGAGAGGCGGAGGCCATGTCGGGACTACTAGCATGGGCGGCAGTCGGCAGACATGGTAGGCGGTCACATAAGCGTTCACGGCGACGAAGTCGACAACATCCTGAGTCTCTTAACGGAAGAGTTGCAGAAGTATGTTCGAGAATTGGATTGGAAGGCGACTTCTCTCACCCGTGCGATCCAAGATTTACGGCAGAGGTTGCCTCCTGCCGATATCTCCCAACGCCAGCCTCACCTTCTTGCCCACTCCCTCGCATCCAATGTTGCTCTGACGCTGCAGTTGAATGGTCACTCTGCCACCAAAGAGCATATAAAATTACGCGCAGTTTCATGTATTTTGAGATCGACATCGGATCAGGGGTTCATTTTGGAATTGAATTAAAGGAATTGAAATCAATTTTATGGAGTTATTAGCGGCAAGAACTGTAATTTTCATTTGTCTGATCTTTATTTGAGATGCCCGATCAATTTCTCGTTTTTTCGTCGATAACGGTGGCGGAATAAGATCTGAGGGAGGATGTTTGTTAGAGGCTATAAAAAGGGTTTTTAATTTTTTAATGGTTGTAAAACTAAGGTGGAAATTTTAATAGATTGAATTTTATTTTTTTTTATAGTTTTTTAATTGCCGCATCACATATTTAACGGTCAACTATAAGAATTGATTATCACATGGGCCAAAGTTAACGGAGTTTGACGAAAAATGACCAAATTTAAAATGGAATAACCAAACATGAACCTTTTTAGTGAAGAACAGCTTTGCAATATACCCTTTATGGTTCTCGAGCAAAACAAGATGCAATTATTCAAAGAAAAAAATACAAGATTTGCAATCTATTGGCAATCCCCTCCCAAGTCTCAATCGAAATTCTAAACAGAGACTCTAGTATACAAAGCGGAATCTTCTCAGATAAGCAAGCACAGTCCCGGCAACCATATGGCACTACTCTTCTAGTCACCGATCACCTTCCGGAGCCGCTCCCTCACAAATTCGCTTCGAGCTTTAGCTCGGGCTCGTTGAGGCTCAACATTCGCCAGAGACAAGTACGCACCATACCCGAACAGCGAAGCCCCGGCCGCAAACAGCAAAACCGTCGCCACCACTTGCTTCCGCGTCGGCGGGTACGACCAAACCGCCATCTCTCGCCCGCCGGAATTAGCAGAACAAACACCAGAAAACAACAACCCTAAAAGGCTAGAACCTTCCTCTGCGGAAAAGTAGAGGGATTTCATCAGATTAAGGGCCGAGGTCCCACAAATCTTATTTGGGCTGTTTCGAAGCCCAGACCATCTCTTCGGCCCATCACCATTTTCCTCCACACGAAGTTTTGAAGTTCGCGGCTGGCTTCTGTTCCCTTCCTTCCCCGCCGGGACAGAGATTGTTTCGTTCTTCGGCAGATGTATGCAATGCAATGTTGAAGTTCTCTTCCAGACCTTCAATCCGTCTTCTGATACAATCCTGCAAAACCCTTCGCCACCTCCACCAGTTCCACGCTCACATAATTTCCAGAGGCCTCGAGCAAGACCATTGGACCGTCTCCAACTTACTGAAGCTATCGACGTCACTGTCGGCGTCTCTTTCCTACTCCACTTCTGTTTTCAACAGAGTGATCGCTCCTTCCACCTTGCTCTACAACGTTCTGTTGAAACTCTATTCGCGCAGTTCCCGCTCCAGGGAGGCGTTTCTGCTGTATACGAGGATGAAGAAGAGTGATAGTGCGTCTCCAGATGAGTACACTCTCTCTTCCCTTGTTACCTCGTGTTCGCGGGAATGTAAGTTGAGAGAAGGTCGAATTGTTCATGGGTCGGCGATTAGATACGGGGTTGTGGTTGATATGTTCGTGGGTTCGGGTTTGGTTGACTTTTATGGTAAATGTACGGAGATGGTTAGCGCAGCTAAAGTGTTTGATGAAATGCCCGAGCGAAACGTTGTGTGTTGGACAGCGCTGGTGGTTGGGTATGCGAATGCTGGGGATATGGGAAGTGCGAGGGAAGTGTTTGGCCGAATGCCAGTGAGGAATTCGGTTTCCTGGACTGCTATGATCATTGGGTTGGTGAAAGCCGGAGACACTATCGGTGCGAGAAAGTGGTTTGATGAAATGCCTCGAAAGACTGTTGTTGATTATACTGTTTTGATTGATGGATATGCCAAGGCCGGAGATATGGCTTCTGCAATGGCATTGTTTGAATCTTCTCCGGAGAAAGATATTGTTGCATGGTCAGCATTGATATCGGGATTTGCTCAAAACGGTATGCCAAAGCAGGCTTTGGAAATGTTTAGAGAAATGGAGTCTGCGGGTGTTATACCTGATGAATTCATCATGGTGAGCTTGATGTCAGCTTGTGCGCAGATAGGTAGCTTGGATTTGGCAAAATCAGTTGATCATTACCTGGCCAAGAGCTCGATTGATTCTTGTCAAGCTCATGTAATGGCTGCCCTTATAGGCATGAATGCAAGGTCCGGAAACATGGCTAGAGCAGAAGAATTGTTCAACAGAATGCCTCAGCACGACCTGATTACATACTGTTCTATGATAAAAGGATATTCTATCGATGGACGTGGTGATCAAGCTATTGAACTATTCAATAGGATGCTAGATGAGGGATTGGTTCCGGATGAAGTTGCCTTTACAGTGATTTTGTCAGCCTGCAGTCGAGCTGGTCTTGTGGAAGAGGGTTGGGATTTTTTTACTACTCTCACGGATAAGTACTCCTTAGTCCCAACTCGTGACCACTATGCATGTATGGTTGATCTTCTGAGCAAGGCAGGGCGGCTAGAAGCTGCTTACGAGCTTCTAGTATCGTCCCCTTTAGAGCCTTATGCATGTGCTTGGGGTGCACTTCTTGGAGCTTGTAAGCTTTATGTTAATCTTGAATTGGGTGAGAATGTTGCCACTAGACTATTTGAGCTTGAACCGCAAAATGCCGCTAATTATGTGCTGCTGTCTGACATCTATGCCGCATCAGATCGTTGGTTGGATGTTTCTCTTCTTAGAGAAAAGATGAAAGAGAGAGGGCTTAGAAAAATACCGGGTTGCAGTTGGGTATAGAAATACCGGGTTGCAGTTGGGTATAGAGCTTAAATTGTGGATTATTGTTATTGGCTTAATGACAGCATCTTCTTGCCTAGCAAAAAATGGGATGTACATTGTGATTAACTGTTCAATTTTGGCGCTTCTGTTCCAATTTGTGGTTCTGTTCATATGGAGGAAATCCAGAGGAGGAACAACAATTTTCATGGGGAACCACTTCCTTCTGAAAGAATCAAATTTGGTGTTGATTGGCTTTTGTTTCGTACCTAGTTGCTTGTGTAATTTCATGTACATGGGGCTTCAAACATAATTGATTAGGTTTTGTACCTAGTTGCTCATGGCATATCTACTCCGCTGCTGCATGATATCAATTGAAGGTACCTGCTAGCTGAAATGACTTTTTGTTCTCATTGTCCTTAAACAAGAGTTTAAAGATCATCTGCAAATATTGCTTCCTTTGAGTTATCCTGCCCTGTGGTTCGAACTGATATCATTGTTTGCTGGAGAACATTTCAGATTTGAAGTCAGGAAAGCGGCTCCTTTCACTGTATTAACGGAAACAGAGGGTGCCACAGGTAAGAGGCATGATCCTATAATGTTCCCGTTAACTTCTTTAGATAGATTCTCTTCACTTAAAGATGGGGTGGACATATTTTTCTAATGCCCGCTTACATCAACATTTAAGGTAGAGAAAGCTATTAGTTTACTGTTTAACAACAGCAGGTACATTTTAAGACTAATAGATCTATCAGGGACAACAGCCTCTATTAAAGAGGAGGACTTGGAAGCTGTTTTTTCCCCCAATTCTGTAGTTTGCTAGTAATATCATCATAATGCTCTACAATCAACTGCTTGTCCCATGTTTATAAGACGAGGTAGTTGTCAAGCAAACGACACAGTTCACTCTCTGAATTTGCCTTTCCTAGATGATATTAGCTGCAAAAGGTAAATGAGATTCTGGTTCACAATTGGCAAGCATACTGTGGTTCTCCAAGTAGGAGATTGCAGCAGCAGCATTAAGAGCTGCACCTACAGGGAATGATTCCTCATCAATGAAGAAGTAAGGGGAGTGAAGTGGTTGATCTGATTTCAAAGTCTCATTCTTTATTCCAATGACAAAAATTGCAGCAGGCATCTTCTCCGAGAAGGAACTGAAATCCTCTGCACCCATGGTGACTGGAAACGAGTGCACATTGGATTCACCAAGTAAGATTTCTCCAACCTTCTTGACATGCTTATAAACTGCTTCATCGTTAATCATTGGAGGATGTGGAAGATGTCTGTGCTCCATGAAGTCCATTGTGACATTGCACCTATGCACTGCTGCCTGCATTTCAATGATCTGGAAAGAGAATGAGCAGATGCTGTTTTGTTATTGACTGGTTTTAAAAGCACAATAGTATACACAGAGAATTCAATAGTTTATAAGGAGGGCCCTCTTACCTCTTTAATCCTGCGCTGAAGGTTGTGTAGACCTTGTTTGCTTAGACTTCTAAAAGTTCCTTCAAATCGCACTGAATCTGGAATTACATTTCCTGCTTTGCCTCCTTCAATCAATCCCACTGTCACTACCTATTCATTTTTGAAGAAAAGTGAAGTGAAATCCATTGTTTAAACTGCTAGTATGATGGTATGGACTATGATATCTAATGAACCTGCATATTATTAAGAGAAATAGGATTTTACTGCAGCTTCAAGGGGATCAGTCTCTCGTGATACGATCTGTTGGAGAGCAACTATGGCAGAAGATGCCGCCACAATCGGATCTCTACCCATATGCGGGGATGAGGCATGGACTCCAACCCCTTGGATTGTTGCAGAGAAGAGCCCAGCACCCGCAAGAAACGGACCAGGTCTTGAAGCAATCGCACCAGTAGGCACCGAGGGCAAAACATGTATGCTTATGATGGCATTCAGATCATCAAGACATCCATCTTGTAACATATGGTAAGCACCAGAATAACCCTCTTCCCCTGGCTGGAATACAAGCTTGACAGTTCCCTTTTCAATACGTGAACAGCATAAATAAATCAGTACGCAGAAACTCAAAAAGGATTAATCACTTCCACAGTTCGTGTTATAATTCACCTTCAGCGTGTCTCTCCTGTCATGGAGTAACTTGGCGGCACCAAGGAGCATTGCAACATGAGAATCGTGGCCACAAGCATGCATCTTACCGTCAATTTTACTCTTGTGCTCCCACTCTACCTTTTCCTTTGAAACCCAGAATCAAGAAGTCAAAAAGGGTTTGGTAGCAATTTCATATAATACCCTTTTGTTTCCTATATGCAGGGTGAAAACAGGGAGAGAGAGAAGACCTGAAGAGGGAGGGCATCCATGTCGGCTCTGAGGGCAAAAACTGGCTTGCCACCATTTCCAATGGAAGCGACCACTCCAGTTTGGGCAACTGGCCATTTATAATCAATCCCAAGCGAATCAAGCTCAGCTCGAATGATCTCACTGGTTCTGTGCTCCTCAAAACCCAGCTCTGGATACTCATGAATCCTCCGTCTGATCCCTCTCATCCACTCAAAGAACTCCGGCTCCTTTGCCGATGCCATGAGCTGCTTAGCTAGTGACTCCAGCCCTGGATGTTCACCGCCGGCGACCGTCAAACCCAGAGATTGACCCAATATTAATAGAACTGTGATCAGCAAGAAGCGACAGCTGGTCCGGCGGCCGATGAACTCCATGAGGAAACCGACAGCTAAGTTCCCCGTCCGCCGAGCTCACTTTGGGTTAAAGGGTTCTGTTTGGTTCGTCAAGTTCTATTACATTGGCGGGGTAGATAATAAAGTAAAGCATCTCCATCTATTGACTCCATTTATACATATTCCAAGGGACGAAGGCCGTGTGGAACTCAATCTTTTCCACTTCCAGGTGATTAATGATAATCTCTCTCTTAAATATCTATTTTAGTGAATCCCCCCATTTCCCATTAATATTTCTAGATATACACGGAATTATCGTATCAGCGGCTAAAACAAAAAAAAAAAAAAAAAAAACGCTCTCGCCTCTTTCCTCTGTTGTTGCTCGCTGCTCGGGAAATGGCTTTCCTGGGCCGCCGCGGCTATTTTCGCCGCAAGCTGGAGGAATCAAACGACAACAAGCTGGTACCTGAAGCAGAATCGGGGATTGATCAAGCCCCCACCCAAGATTGGAAACGAAGACCGCCCTAGAGCTGTCGAGCTCCAGTCGCCGGAAAAGATCTTGATAAGGGTGGATTGGCGCAGAGGTCGGCGCCACCACCAAAAGAAACGTTCGCGTCAGTCGATTGAAATTGACAGACCTGAGGAAAGCCCTCTTAAGCGGCGGCGATCTCAACCAAAGAAGCAATGGAGGTTCTGGCTCCCCCACTCGTCGGAGTTGGAAGGGGAGGAACCTGCTCGAGCCCCGTTCGCGGGAGAAAAGTCACCGAACCCAGCAAATTGGGTTGAACAACATGTTCCGATTGTAGGCCTAGGTTAGGTGTTGGCCGTCGGGGAAGGGATTGGCCCCTTGAATTCACACTTGGGGTGTTCTCAGATGGTTCAACTACCCGTGGGAGGAGTTACCCCCGATGTGATGCCGGAGAAGACAAGGACGCTAGTCCAAGAAGCGTCCACCGCCGCAGGGAAGAAAATTGATGGGACGGCGGCGTCGAGCCCTGGTCTCAGCTGGTGTGGAGGCGAAATACAAGGGCGGTTACGATTGAGTCGTATCCTAGGACCCCTCTTCTGGTGAGCGAGATTCTCGGGACAAATCTCCGTGGAAACCGAATTACCCCGCGGCAAAGGTATCCGAGTCCCAATCCAATCCGAACTTCTAACAGCCCCTGGGAACCACGATTCCACCTGGGAACCATAGAGTTTTTTCCCTATAAAACCCAGAGGCTGAACTCAAATCGGCTATCAACAAGTGAGCGGAGCTGGACGTTTTCCCCAGAAACCAAACCGGTGACGAATTCCAAAAAACAGGGGGCTGCTTCCGATCTCGCTTTAGGTAAGGATAGTCTGGTTTGCTCTTCTTCTGTCTGTGGTGTGATGGGAAGATCCCCTGACCTCGGGAGCGGTCTATCCCCGCCGGTTAGTTCCGTGGTTTTGCTGCCGGAAAGCTCGGCGGTGTTGCCCTCGACGGCGGGTAATGAACTGGCCCCGATGGACTTCGCCTCTGTTGCGGAGGATAAGTCAGCCTTCGGGCGCAATAGGCCCAAAGTGATAGCCCTGGGTAGGCAGGAGAGCGGAGAAGGGGATTTGGGCCCGGCGGGTTTGCCCGCCCCCTTGGGGCTTGTTGGGCCGGGATCTGCCTTCGGGCTCCATAGAAGCAATTGGGCCGAGCCGGTGGGTTTGTCCACCTCCTTGGGGCCGGTTGGGCCAGTCTCTGCCTTCGGGCCTAATTTACCTATTTCATCAAACCCCTTGTCAAATGTTTTAATTCCCAAGTCCATTAGGCCTTTGGGCTTGCTGATGTCGAGCCCATTGAGGAAAATACCCAATTGTGATGCAACTAATGATTTACTTGTCTATGATTGTCAGGTGAATATGACGTCGCGAATTGCTGAGGATCAAGTGGTTGAGTTCTCACTTGAGGAGGTTCAATCGGTGAGGTTTCGAATCTATAGGACCCTTCTGGGAAGGTTCTTTTCGGAGGCCAAATTTACTACTGCGGAGCTGAAAGAGGGACTTGTTGAAGTGTGAAAGGAAACCTTAGGGTTTCACTCACGAAATTTGGCTTATTTGAAGTGGTGCTGCCAAGTGACGAAACAAGGGTGTGGGTCCTGAAACGGACGCCCTGGATTGTCATAGACAGGATCTTCCATCTCCGGTCCTGGACACCATCCATTTCCAGGAACACATTCGAGGAGTTAGCATGTGCCCCATTTCAGGTCCAACTATGGAATGTGAAAGATGACTGCTGCACGAAGCAGTTTGGCCAGAAAATGGCAGCGGGAAAGATTGGTCAGGTCTTGGAGGCAGATGTCTTCGCGTCCAAGGAGACGGATGAGCTCTTTGTAAAAGTGCACGTGCTCATTAATTTTGCTAAGCCACTGCGATCTCAAATCATGGCGGTAAGCGAGGAGCTTGGCGAGTTCTGGGTCAATCTCAAATATGAGTTCCTTCCAACCGTCTGTTTTCATTGTGGGCGAGTGGGCCATTCCAAGCGTGACTGTGTTTTTGACCCCCCCCCTCCCCGGGAAAGAACGCTTTGGCCCTCACATGTCAACCAGGAAGCTCGGGCGGAAGATATACATGGAGGAGGAGGACTTTTCAAGGTTTCGGGATACAAGTAAGTCGATGTGGATCAACAGGAATGTCCACTGGCAAAATGATGGGACTGCAAGGGCTGCCAAGGGGCGAGTGGAAGAGGGGCCGCGGGTGCCCTCTACGAATACTCAGGCTCAAGGGGTGCACCATGTTCGGTCTACAGACCCAGCTGGTCAAGCCAGCATGAAGACTTAGCCTAGGCTGCGAGAACCAGTCAGCCAGAGGGCCGGGAACCATACTAGCCCAAAAAAGTTTAGCGTTAAGAAGTCTCCCCGGGTGAAGGTTGGGGGCGGGGTGAGGCAATCTCAGAAGAAGCGGTCGCCCAGGAAGATCACCAATCATGCTCCTCAAGTAGCTAAAGGCCGCCAGCAGCCTAGTAGGCGCAAGAAGCAGGCCCCCCACCCACAGATGGAGGCTGATCCGGTGGAGATAGTTCTTGAGCAATCCAGAAGGCGTAGGCTGATTTTGCAGGAAGAATCTGAAGAGGAGGATAATATGATCCCTGAGCCTATATTGAAGAAGGCTGCCCATATGACTGTGGCCAAGCCAGGGGGCGCGGCACCTCGGGTTCGTCTGCGGTTGAGAAAAAGGGGGAGCTAGCTCCCCACTGACTGTGTCCACCCAGGTTGAGGAGGATACTCCAGCAGGTGCAGTACGTGATCTGGAGGATAAGGAGGCTGGGGATAGTTTTGATAACCCCATAGCGGTGAAACATCAGCAGGTAGCTGACTCTGATGAGGATCGATCGCTGGAGGAAGCCCATTCTTTTGAAATCAAGCGCAGGTCACCCACTGGTGCCTCCAGGAAGACCTCTCATGTTATGAAAGGCCGCGTTTATCAAGTGGTGGAAGCATTTGAGGCTGGGCTTAGCATTGGCCAAGTGGAGACTCCCTCCTGGAAAGAGGCGAGCTTGGGACTGAATGAGTATGGGTCTAATCTGGAGGACCCAATCATGGAGAATCGGAAGCGAGTGATCGAGGAGGTGGAGGGGGCTGTGGGTGACCCTCCTACTCCGAAGAGACAATTTGTGGAATCAGTGGATGTCCAAGAAAAGGTGGAGGAAGCCAGCCTCGAGTGCCCCCCAGTGGATAAATGAGGCTTCTGGCTTGGAATGTGAGAGGAATTGGGCCATCCCTCACCTTCCAATCTGCTTTAGGGCTTGTTCATTCTAATAAGCCGGATGTAGTGTTTTTCTCTGAAACACGTTCGAGCCGGCGTGTAGTGTCCCGCCGTATGCGGGGTTTAGGTTTTGAGAATTCTCATTGTTTTTTTGTTGATGCAGTCGATGTATCGGGTGGGTTAGTTGTAGCTTGGGCCCCCGGGGTTAACACTTCGGTGTTTTGTTCTTCCAATTTTTATATTTGTTCGCAAATTAATGAAGGTGATTTTTCGTATTTGGTGTTTTTTGTTTACATTAGTTGTAATGTTGCTGTTCGAGATAGCCAGTTGGCTCATTTGCGTGAAGTGTGTGGGAATATTCACCAACCATTGGTGATCATTGGTGATTTCAACGTCACCCTCCATGAGGGGGAAAAAGATGGGGGTCGGGCTTGGAATGCGACTCAAGCCACCAGCCTGCGGGAGTTTGTCCATGAGTTGAGACTCCATGACCCAGGATACCAAGTGGATCAGTTTACTTGGACCAACAAGTGAATGGGGGAGGCGTGCATTCGTGAACGGTTAGATAGGGCCCTTTGCTCCCAGTCCTGGATAGATATGTATCCGGAGACCTTGGTCAAACATTTTACGGATCAGGGGTCAGACCATCATGCCCTCCTTCTCGCTGATAAGCCTTACACTCGGAATAGTCGGCCTCTTTTCCGGTTTGATGCTCGTTGGGCGGAGAACCCGGAGGTTAGGGCAATGGTCCAGTATGTCTGGCAGGAGGAGTTGCAAGGTACCCCCATGTTTCGTCTTTAGGAGCGCCTCAAGAAACTCCGTCACCTGCTGTATGATTGGAGTAGGGCGGGCACCACTAACTCCTTGCGGAATATTAAGACTCTCCAGGCTGAGGTTCACCGAGTCAAGTCCATCCATTCGGTGGATTGGGATGCGGTACGATCCCTGGAAATAGAGCTATCTTGTCAGTGGGATGCAGAGGAGTTATACTGGCAACAAAAGTCCAGGGTCCGATGGCTAAAAAGAGGGGACCAAAACTCAGCGTATTTCCACACGGTTACGCGCGCACGTCGGAAAAGGAATTTTGTCGTTGGGCTCCAGGATGATGAGAGTGAATGGGTTACGGAAGAGAGCGGGAAGGCTAGGATTGCTACCAGCTTTTACCAAACTCTATTTACCTTGGAATCCCAGGTGCTAAATATGGCTGATAGGGTGGCGAGCCTCCCCATTCCCCAAACGGTTACTCCGCAGATGAATGCGCTTTTAACGGCGGTGGTTTTGCCGCAGGAGGTTCGGAAAACGGTCTTTTCTATGGGATCGAAGCAGGCTCCGGGGTCTGATGGCTTTACCGGCAAATTCTTCAAAGCATTCCGGGATGTTGTGGGTGCCTCGGTGATTGAGGCGGTTTGCTCTTTCTTTTCGACTAGTCGAATGCTACGGAGTTTTAACCATACTTGGCTTACGTTGATCCCTAAAGTGGATTCTGTGGAAAATGTCCGCCAGCTGCGTCTGATCAGTCTCTGTCAGTTCGTTTATAAAGTTATAACCAAGATCATGGCTGAGCGGCTTGCGGGATTGCTCCCTCAAATTGTTTCTGAGGGACAAAATGCGTTTATAAAAGACCGGCAGATTATTGATAACGTCCTTCTTGGGCATGAGTTAATGCATTATCTCAAAATAAAAAGGCAGGGGAAGAAGGGCTACATGGCTCTAAAGGTTGACATGGAAAAGGCCTAATAGAGTCGAATGGCCCTTCCTTCTGCCAGTTTTGGATAAGATGGGCTTTAATTCTGTCTGGCAAGGATGGGTACATGTCTTAGATCCGCTACTTTTTTGGTTCTGATGAATGGTACGCCTTCGGGTTTTTTCGGTTCCTCTTGGGGACTCAGACAGGGATATCCGTTGTCGCCTCTCCTGTTTGTGCTTTGCACGGAGGGGTTTGCGGCCCTTCTTCGGAAGGCGATCTCTGAAAAAAAGTTGGAGGGGGTGAAGGTGGCGCCGCGTGCTCCTAGGATCTCGCATCTGTTTTTCGCGGATGATTCCTATCTATTCCTGCGAGGTTCTCTTCAGGAGTGTGAGAATTTAATTGTGGTGCTCAATTAGTATGAGGAGCTGAGTGGGCAGCGGGTTAACCTGGAAAAGTCGGCAGTCTGCTTTAGCAAAAATGTTGCCTTGGCTGATCAGGAGTTTTTGGCTGCGGTTCTTGTAGTCGGTGCAGTAGGGGTTCATGATAAGTACTTGGGGCTACCCACTTTGATTTTCCGATCAAAATGGCGACATTCAGGTATTTGGAAGAGAACCTACTGGCGCGTCTGCAGGGGTGGAAACAGAAAACTTTATCCTGGGTGGCTAAGGAGACTTTAATTAAATCAATTGCTTTGGCCTTGCCCCTGTATGTTAAGTCACGTTTCCGGTTGCCCCTCTCCCTTTGTCGTTTGTTGGATAGACATGTGGCCCGTTTCTGGTGGGGAGTTGAGGATGGTCACCCCAAGATTCGGTGGGTGTCCTGGCGGAACCTTTGCCGGAGCAAGCATGACGGGGGTTTAGGTTTTTGCAGGTTTGAACATTTTAACCAGGCTCTCTTAGCTAAGATTGGCTGGCGTATTCTCCATGAGCCGCATTCCCTCCTGGCTCAGGTGTATAAAGGGAAGTACTTTCCTCATGGATCTTTTCTGTCTGCTATTGCCCGATCTAGGCCTTCTTGGGGTTGGCAGAGTATCCTGTTTGGGCGTCAGCTTTTGGAGGCAGGTTTAAGATGGCAGATAGGCAATGGCCTCTCGGCCTCCCTTGTACATTCTAAATGGATTCCTGGGCTTCAGCTGGATTCCCCTTGCTATAATCCTCGCATCCTGCCAAATGGAGGGGATCCCTTGGTAGCGGAGGTTATTTGTCAAGGGGAAGGGCGTTGGGATGAGAATAAGTTTAGTCAATGGTTTGACCCTTCTGTCTGTCGGGCAATTAAGGCTATCCCACTTTCGAGGCGGAATGTGGATGATAAACTTATCTGGCATAACACTGCTGATGGGGTGTTCTCGGTTAAGACGGCATATCATCTGGCAGTTGAGCTTGACAGGAGGAGGGGTGGGTGGCGGGAATCGGTGAGTTGGATGGATAGGAAAAGCTGGATCCGGTTGTGGGAAGCGAAGATCCCTCCAAAGCTTAAAGTCTTTGTCTGGCAAATTTTGAATCGGGCCCTGCCAACCACAGAGGCGCTCATTGAAAAGAAGGTTCCTGTGCTGCCCCGGTGTCCGGTTTGTTGGGAGGGTCCCGAGACGATGGAGCACTTGTTTCTTTACTACCCGGTTGCGCGGGCCCTCTGGGACTACTCGGGGTTGGATTATTTAGGGGAGGCTTTGCCTCGGCACACGTTTCCACTGTTTCTAAAGCAGATGCTTGCCCTTGTCCATGATCCGTCGTTGTTTATGGAGGTGGTTGCCATCCTCTGGCGGATCTGGCGCTCGCGAAACTGGGTTGTCTTTAAAGGCAAACAGTTTGGGATTCCGGCTTTAATGCGCCAATTTCACCAGCAATATGAGGAGTGGGTGGGTCTGCCGGTTGACCAGCAGCCAAGGATGTCTTGCCAGGTGGTCCAGCCTGGGACCCGCGTGGATGACTCTCGGTTGGTTTGCATGTGAGACGGGGAAACTATGAGGGGGTCACACTCGGCTGGAGGGATGGTTCTTTGTGGTCAGGGAAGGACGGTCCTTCGGGCTAAAGGTGTGCAATTTGCATGAATTGATGAGCCGATGGTGGTGGAGCTGCTAGTGCTGCGTGAGGCTATCACTTGGTGTTTAGAGTGGGGTTTGTCCGATGTTCGGTTCGAGGGGGATGCGAAGGTCATTATTGACAAGATTAATCAAGCCGATTCGCGCGACACTCACTTGGGGGCAGTACTGGAAGAGATTTGTCAATATTTTGGTGCCCATCTGGGGTTTAGTGTGTGGTTTGTAGGTTGGGATAACAATAGGGTAGCTCATTCGGTAGCTAGAAAAGCCCTCTCTTTTTACCCGACTGGGAATCGCTTGTTTGATTTCAGGGCCTGGCTGCTTTCTAGAATGTAACTATCTTTTTTATTGGATTAATATATGATATCTTTTGACAAAAAAAAAATTCCTCATGAGACACGATATTGTTGTTAGGTCTATTTTCACTGGCCGAGCCGGTTTACGTATAGTCTCTCTACTTATAAATATTGATAAATTTATATATAAAATGTATAACAAATTCTAAAAATAGATTAATCGATGAGACACTAGTCCCTCATCAATGGTCTTGATTGAAATTCCTCAAATTTATATTATTTAGCTTTTTTTCGTTCAAATTTCTTGCTCCGTCATTATCCATATTTATTCTTCGAATCTCTTCCTCTTTAATCTGTTGGTAGTAGGGGTCACAGACTAGTTGGTCAGCGGCAAGGTTGTCAACCCGCGGGTCGACCCTCGGGTTGACCCACTTTGACTCTGACCCGGTGAGAAAAACGGGCCGCACGCACCCGCCGGGTCGACCGCTATAAGGTACCGGGTTGGAGGTCAAATTGTGTCATTTTTTCTTTGTTTACCGAAATGCGCCTATTTTTCGATTTTTCTTTTCGCCTAACTCAATCTTTGGAATTCTAAGTTGAACATTTGAATATTAATGTTATATAAGTGTGTGAATTTTCACTATATGTTGAATCTAAGTACGAAATATTATTTTGGTGTAATATTATATGTTATAACTCATATGTTAGATGAGATTTGATATAATTTATCAGGATAAGTACAATATAATGACGTTTTTCATATTTCCGGGCTAAACCGGGTGACTCATTAACCCTTGATCCACTACCTCAACCGGGTCCGAGTCAATCCGCGGGTTGACAACCTTGGTCAGCGGTTATTTGCTAACAACCGAACTTTTATTATTGTTAGCCAATTTGTAACAGCTTAACGGTTAATTGTTAATCAAGTGGTTAATAGCTTATTCATATGTTATAACTATATAATAGAAATTCTTCTAGATCTAATCGATGATTCAACAACTCAAATTAGCCACCTTTGGATTTACACTTCGATATGTGCAGATTAGTACTAACGATGAACTGTAGGGTTCCAAGTTTTCATATTTTCCAAGCTTGAAATGCGCATTACTGATAACTTTTATTGTGTAAAATCTGAAATGACACAACGTTGGCACCATATTCCAACTCAGGGGCGGACCTACCGGCTGTTTAGGGGTGTCCGCGGACACCCCTAAATTTTGGGAAAACGATTATCCAACCCCCGGTAGTAATTTACGTATTGACAAAAAAAATTATAATTGATAGTCGGGGACACCCCTAAATTTAAAAAAGTGATTATCCTACTCTCATCTTTTAGTTTGAGTATGAGAATATAAGTCATAGTTTGGGTAATTCAAACCTAGGACACTTTTATTATTAATAAACAAAATTTTCATTAGGCTACAACTCATATGTTATTTGATTTTAAACACTGTGTAATTGTATAATGTCATTCTCTATCTCTAATTATTTTCAAAATCTAACAATTAAACAAATTTCAAGCTACCCTTAATTTGTATTGATTTATGGTTGTACAACAAGTATTGAAAGAGTCTTTTCAACTTTGGATTACATCACAAACAAGTTTAGAAATTGAATATGTGATCAGTTCGTGAATGATTGTCTAATATGATATACAGAGACAATTTTTTTTTGAATAGTGTAGACCCCAAGTGTGTTCTACAATCATTTTTTAATATGAAAACACATTGTGAATTTTTTCAAACTGTATGAGTAAAGTATTTCTTATTTAAATATTATTTATTATTTATTAATTATTTTAGAATTATTTGTATTTAATTTATTTTTTAAAAGAGGACACCCCTATATAAAATTTCTGGGTCCGCCACTGTTCCAACTCACTCCATTTTCTATACCTGCAGAATCTCTCTACTACGACAAGTCGATAACATCTATCAGCATCCACTTTCTCTTCATTCCGCAGCAACAGCAACACCACCACCAGCGTCCAAGTACGAAATGGCGACCGCAGCATGGAGAGCAGCTCCGACGGGGAGCACATCCTCGTCGATGACGAGTCGTGGCGAATGCAACGGCTCCACCGCTCCATCGCCGCACGCCTCCCTTCTCCTAGCGCCAATCATAAAAAAGGCCGCATTCATCTTCTGAGAATAGAAGCTGAAATCCTCTGCCGCCATGATCGGCGGAATCACCTTCACGTTTGATTCTCCAAGCAGCGCTTCTCCAACGTACTTGGCGTGATCGTACATTTCTCGATGGTTCACGGTGGCAGGGTAAGGCCTCCCGGTGTCCGTCATGAAGTCAACCGAGCCACTGCACCGGTGAACCGCCGCTTGTCGCTCCACTACATCTCTGATCCGCTGCCGGAGGTCATCTAGCCCTTCGGTGGTCGCGCTACGGAACGTGCCTCCCAGTCTCACCGTCTCCGGGATCACGTTCTCTGCTCGTCCGCCCTCCACGAACCCTACTGAGATCACCTGAACCATGTATACGAATGAGTGATAAGAGAGTGGGTATAAGATCCATAATGAACTCTCTCCAAACAACCCGAGTTATTTGCATCAATTGGTTTATGATATGATATCAGTATATCGGAACTGATTTAGCCAATTAATCGAGTCAGCGTACCCCAGCTTGAAGAGGATCGGTTTCTCGGGAGATGATTTGCTGGAGAGCGAGGATGACGAAGGCAGCAGCAAGAACCGGGTCTCTTGTATCCTGTGGCCTGGCGGCGTGTCCACCGGTCCCTCTGATGGAGGCCATGAACCTTCCGGCTCCGGCGAGGAGTGTTCCTGGCCGGGATCCGATTGAGCCGACGGGAAGATCGGGGTACACGTGTAGGCCGAACATGGCTTGGATGTTGTCGAGAGCACCGGTTTGGAGCATGTGGTATGCGCCAGCGCCACCTTCTTCTGCTGGTTGGAAGACCAGTTTCACAGTGCCCTTTACCAGGTGACAGAGTTTAGAGAAGATTTAATTACCACATAATGATCATTATTGATAATTTATGTAGCTGATTGTGATTAGTATGAATGGTTTGACTACCTTTAGGTCGGCCTGTTTGAGTTGAAGCAGCTTGGCAGCGCCGAGTAGCATTGTGACATGGGCGTCGTGACCACAAGCATGCATCTTGCCCTTGTTCTTGCTCTTGTGTTCCCACTCCACCAATTCCTACCCATTTTCCAACATACCGATTAATTGAAGTCAGTTAGGAGAAAAGAGGTTAATCTTGAAATTAAAAATAGTCAAATATTGCATCGGGTCTTCGGTTCCTTTTAGTTTATGAATAATTAGTCATGTTGCATCAGACTAATCGATCGACTGGACGTAAAAACCATCGACTGACAAGCATGTCTATACAATAAGTTATATACGTAAAAACCATCTACTAACAAACATGTCTATACAATAAGTTATATACTGAAACAATATGAAGAAAAACCATCTATCAATTGAGATTTTTTGTAATTACCTTTTCCTTCATTGGCATTGGAAGGTTACAATATCATTCTTTTTAATATATGAAGAAATAATCTTGATGGCTAGGTATGAGCAAGGAAGCTAAATCCAAACTCGCTCCTTCCCTAAAAAAACTTCTTGCTGGTTTTATCCATACTCGCAATACTCAAACAATAAGAAAATTTTCCATGTTGACTGGATCTGCAATTGCGAGTTTGATTGTCATTCCTAATTAGGGGTGTGCAAGGATGCCCATCATAGGGGCTTTTATTTAGGTATCCTACTTAAGTTAATTATATATTACAAGCTGAATTTGCGCATATACGATTAGTTCATTGTGAGTGTGATTTTAGGCTTAAGTCTATTAATAAATACTAGAATTAGTAATTGATCAACATTTTCATGTATATATATATATACCAGAAAGCATTATAATTTTTTTTTTATAACCAGAGTATTATGATTAGAAAAGAGTACAAAAATTAAAAAGCCAATAAATAATTTTGTTTCAAATAATGATTGAAAGATATTACTTTTTAATGAGAATAAATTATTTTATTGTACTTGAATTTTTTTTTATGGGGCCACCTTTCAATTTTGGAACATATCAATTCAATTCACGGCCCTGGTCCGGCAATTATGATTTACTTGGGCATTTCATTAATTACCGGCTCATATTCAGCTAATCACAATCACTAGTGATCAGATTCTTTTGATTTGATAATTTTTAACAATTGACCAAAAAGAAGACAGAAAAAGGAAATCGCAAATGACAAAACATCCAACTCCTCAACCGCCGGCCAAGGAGAACGAACCTGAATGGGCAGCGCGTCCATGTCCGCTCGCAGACCGAACCACGGTTGCGACCCTGACCCGACCGAACCAACGACCCCGGTCTCCGCCACCGGCCACGTGTACTGAATCCCGAGCGAGTCGAGCTCCGATCTCACCAGCCGACTCGTGTTGAATTCGTGGAAAGCCAGCTCCGGATCCTCGTGGATCCTCCTCCGGACGCTTCTCAGCCATCTCAAGAACTCCGGCTCTCTTGCCATCTGCAGCAGCTCGTCAGTGAGCGAACTCAAACCCACCTGACTCGGACGATTCTCCGCCGCGTCGGCGGCGGCATGGCAGGTGCAGAGCACCATCGTTAGAGTGATTAACCACGCCATTGGTAGACAGAGAGGGAGTGAAGTTTCAATTCGAGGGGAGGAGATTTTAAGCCTTTAGAGGAAGGAAACGTGTCGCTTTCGCTCGTTTCAATGGCGGAAGTATAGATAGCCAGGTAACCACCGGCGTTCTCCCCATCGTCACTTTCACGTGTGCGTGTGGTCCATTATTGACCCTATCCTATGGGCTTTGCGTTTGTGGCTTAATGGTGACGCGATGGGCTATTTGTAAGTATGTTTGGGCTTCTAGAAAGCAATTACTAGATCAGTAGCATTACGCAATAATATGGACTGGGCCAATTTTCCAAACAAAAACCAAAGCCTATGGTAATAGGAAGGGTTTGTGTAAACCATCCCATAACCGTTTTCCAAATATTCAAATTTATATCCGTCTCATGAATGCGGGGAAAAGTTTTTACAATCTCATCATTATACCGATGGTTTTCCGGGGAAAAAATCCCAAAATACTCTAATTATTAAAGAAAATTCCCAAAATAAAGTACTTATAAACTTATTTCCCAAAATACAGCAGTTTGAACATCATTGTTGTAGACCAAGACAGTGATGACAATCACCGTTTTGGTCAAAAACGGTGATAGCATCATCGCTTTCAACCAAAACAATGATGCTATCACCGTTTTGGACAAAAACGGTGATGCTATCATCGCTGTGGAGAACAACAATGAACCAATCCTTGCTTTTGTTAATGACGGGGATTAAATGACCGTTGATGACTGACGCGATGAAGAGATCATCACCGTTGAAATAAAAAGCGGTGAAGTAGCGCGGATCGCTGACGTGGACGTGCGCGGACACTTCACCGCTAATGACTAAAGCGGTGATAGCCCCGCTTTCCACGTCAGCGATCCGCCCCACCAGCGCCTTCACCGCTGCCGTCCGATGCAGTGAGGCGCGCCACGTCACCACGTCACCGATCCGAGCCACGCCGCGCCACGTCACCGATCCGAGCCTTCACCGCCTTCATTCAACGCGGTGACTTCACTGCGTTGAATCAACGCGGTGATTGGTTCCTGGATCCATTTCCAGCGCCCCTTTCCCCTATAAATACCACTCCCCCCCCCCCCCCCCCCCCTCCCCTCTCATTCCAAACCACACCAAAATTTTATACTTCTTTCTCCCTCCTTTACTTTACTCTAGTTTCGTTCTAAGTATGCTCTGTGGTTGCGGCTAAGTTCGATCTTCCGCATCAGAAAGAATTACTAGAGTTTTTGTTTTGTCGATACTCTCGCTAGCTTTTCGGCAAAAAATGGACGAAGAGGCTTTGAGAGTACGTAAATTAATTTTATTCTTTTGTGATTTTTTTTGCATGGGTGCTAAAATTTAAATTGATTTGATTTTATATTTTTTTTATAGATGGGTGCTGAGATATACGACCCTCGATTGTATATCGATCCTGGCCCAAGGGATCGAAGGTATTTAACCGGGCAAGATCAACATCGCTCCCGTTCAATTTGGAACAATAATCCTGTAGACACACAAAAATTATTTCAATAGTTTTAAAGTTTTTATTTTGCTTTCTATTGACTGACAATATTGTGTTTTTTGTTTTGTAGGAATCACTTATTCCCATAAGTCATCGAGGGACATGTCGATTGCCCCGTTGGCATGATCGACTGCAACCCTATATAGAGAGGACGGGATTGCACATGCTGAGGCACTTTACGAGGCTTGATATTGACAACAATCTGCTGACGGCAATGGCAGAGCGATGGCGCCCCGAGCTGCATACCTTCCACTTTCCCGAGGGTGAAATGATGATCACCCTCAAAGATGTTGCCATCCTCACCGGGCTCCCGATCACCGGAGATGCCATCATCGACAACTCGAAAAAAACCGGATGATGGTTGGGGGCCGTTGATTCAAGAGCGTTTGGGGTTCAACATGCCGACCAGCACGCCCGTCGACGGGGTTGGGCATCCACCACTGAATGCGGGGCAAGTATCGGTCCCGTGGCTTGTTGACCACATCCAAATGGAGGTTAATATAGGCCCGGACACTCCTGAAGATCAGGTGGAGCGGTATGCACGTGTCTACCTAATTGGTTTGGTTGGTGGGTTTCTGTTCCCCGACAAGTCAAACCGGTGGATACAAGGCATGTGGTTAAATATGCTCCTCGGTGACTGGGACGAGATCGGGAAAAAAAAGTTGGGGGTCGGCCGTCTTGGCTGGGATCTATCGAGAGTTGTGTACTTGCTCGAGGTTGGGAGCGAAACAAGCTGGTGGTGCGATGTTCATACTCCAACTCTGGGCATGGCAGCATCTTCCGTTTTTAGCATCTCGAGACCCTCGGGAATTCTGGTTGCGAGATGATGAGCTATGATTTGTAGCAAATCCCCCATATGGTTTCAAGTAAGTTTAATTTAAGTTTAATTTATTTTAGATATGCAATGGTAGTATTTTAGTGAATTTAGATCTATTCCAAGTAAGCGAATTTAGTGAATTTTAGTGAATTTAGATCTATTCCAAGTAAGCGAATTTAGTGAATTTTAGTGAACTTAGATATCTTTCAAGTAAGCAAATTTAGTGACATTTTAGGTATGCAATTATAGTATTTTAGTGAATTTAGATATCTTCCAAGTTAGCAAATTTAGATTTATTCTAACCAAATCGTATTTAGCTAATTTAGATTATTGCCAAGTAAGGAATTTTAGTTCAATTTAGATGCTTCCATACAATCATACTTAACAAGTAAACATCTATGCCATAAAAATTGCTTATATACGTACTTTTGCTTAATTAGGTGGATCGGAGCAAATACAAACGACCACCAGCCCGAACACTCTTTGCTGTTTTATCGTGCTGAATTCGATAAGCCTTGGTGGAACCAGGTAAAAATATAAAATTTCATCATTTTCAATTTTTTAGGTGGAGTGGATATAATTTGTACTTATTCCGTGAACTATAATGATTGTAGGCGGTATGGGATCCATATCCAAATGAAGTGGTTGAGTTGCATCGTCTTAGACATCCCGAGGATGAAGAGACATGGTTGTGCAAGGTGCCCTTAATCTGCTTCCACATGGTGGAATGACACCTTCCCGATCGATCTTTGAGGCAATATCGATTGGAGCAACCAATTCCAGCATCCCCACCTCAAGGGTTCAGGGAGCTCCACGCCATTGACCTACGCCACACCAAAAAGGATTGGGTCAAGAAGCATGAATTCTACATCAACATATGGGAGAATAGAAATCAGTGGATGGTCCAAGGGTTGCCGGAGACGAGGCCAATGGGGTACCACGATGGCTACATGCGGTGGTATCGAAATTTCACGCTAAGATGGGTGTCAAAGCAAGGTGCTGTTTGGGGCGCAGTGGTAAGTGAATTCCATTTTGTCCTCTTTGACTAAGTTTTGTGTAGTATGATTACATGCCTATATTAGGTAGAATGTTAATTTACATTATTAGATTTAAGGATGCCTCTTTGTCTTAATGTTAGTTAATTTTGTACAACAATTTATTAGGTTGACGGTTTGGAACATGCCAAGCACACTGTCGAGAGTGCACCCACCATGGATGAGCGGAAGACATCTTTTTTGCGCAGGCTTTTCAACAACCTGCTCTGTTGTACCCGGGAGCAAAGGAGGGATGTCGTATTATACCCTCCAATGCCTGCACCGCCCCGACCTTCATTCCGTGCTGATGAGAGGATCGTGCCCCCACAAGAGCCCCCACGGAGGAGCAGAAGAAGGGTGAGAGAAAACATTGAAGAGCTTCATCCGTCTCAACAAACTCAACTTCCTGAACCATGGCCACATTGTGAGTGGGCAACTAGTACTGAGGGCACCGGAGGGTCGTCAAGCTATGCCCCGACTCAGGAACATGACATGTTCACCCAAGGCACCCCTCACTTCCACCATCAGCAACAAACTGCTCAGTATCAGACCCCGCAACAACAACACACATACCCTACTTTCCACCACGCTTCTGGTTCATCTCAGCCATATCAACCCCCACCACCTGTCTACACTCCGGTGGGTGGTCGGGTTAAGAGGAATCCGCGAGCAGTTGTCCAGCGGGCTCGTGAAGAAGGAGGAGGTAGAGAAGGCGGAAGAAGGGGTCGAGGAGGCCGTGGAGGAAGAGGAAGAGGAAGAGAAGGGGAAGTGGAGGGAAATGAAGACAACCAGTGAACTATCTATGTCATCCTAATTATGTTTGGTCTTGTTTTGTTTTCCATGAACTATCTATGTCGTCTTAATTTGGTTTGGGATTGTGTTGTTTTCCATGAACTATCTATGCCGTCTTAATTTAGTTTGGGATTGTGTTGTTTTCCATGAACTATCTATGTCGTCTTAATTTAGTTTGGGATTGTGTTGTTTTCCATGAACTATCTATGTCGTCTTAATTTAGTTTGGGATTGTGTTGTTTTCCCCCCATGTTGTACCAAAGTAAACAACATACACCATTCATTACAATCACTCAACAAGATTAAAACAAGAAGTCCAACTTAAACATCACAACAACGAAAATGACAAGGAAGTGAACAAAAGAGTACTCAAGGTTGGTTTGTACTTGGCCCCGAATCTTGCTCTAGAGGTGGACCTGGGCAACGCCTCTTGTCATGACCCGGTTCTCTGCACTTTGAGCAACGCTTTGGACCTCGTCGGGCATGTTGTGATTGATCCATTTCATTGTGAATCCTTTCGGTCCTAGGACGACCTTTGGTGCGCTTTAAGTGCAACGGTGGGATAATCAACTTCCCATTGTCTACAGACCACTAAGCTTCATCCGGCAGGGGGCTGAAACTTGACGAGTAGGAGTTCCTGATCGCCTGTTCCGTGTAGTAAGGAGTAACCAAACTGTAAGCGCTGAGGGTTATCGACTTAGCTACTGCCATTGCATGTGAACAAGGTACTCTTCTGTTTTGATACTTTTGGAATGTACACTCTCCGGTGCGATTTTCTACGTGTAGAGTAACGGATTGACGATTATGCCCACGTCTTCCTCCCCCCCATATACCTGTTTGCACAGCAAAAACACCTTCATTGCGGTTGAACAGAACAACTCTGTGCTTACTTGATTTCTCCTCGATCTTCTGCATGCCATCAAATATATGATGTGCTATTGAATGACCAACACGCTCCCTCCCTATAGCGAGCTCCCGTCTCTTCACAAACCACTCGTTTACCTTCCA